TGTGTGTGTGTGTGTGTGTGTGTGTGTGTGTGTGTGTGTGTTTTGTGTTTTGTGTGTTCTATCCGTGTGTGTGTGTGTGCATGGGTGTGGGGGTGTGTTTGTTTGTGTGTGTGTGTGTGTGTGTGTGTGTGTGTTTTCGTCTGAAAAAGGCAGTAGGGGGCCAAGTCAGTGGGATCTGGAGCGGACTCTGACGGAAATCCGATGGCGATGGAAAGAAAGACGATGGATGACGATTCAGAAGGAAGGTTGTACTGTATGGACAACATTCAGCACAATCAGCGTATTGTATATTACAGGTAGGACGAGACCCCCGTGAGCACGACATGATGTACGTACCGTCTTTTGGACGTGGTAGTTTTGTGTTGTTTGCAGTACCCCAGCAAGCCTGATCCATTCTCTCTCCTAGATTACTTGAGTCTTTGGAGGTTAGCAGATAGCAGCTAACTTAACCACGGAGTTAACTGAGTAACTGAGAACTTACCACACAGTTAACTGATACTGCTAACTCACCATGGAGTTAACTACTGCCAACTGCTAAATTACCACGCAGTTATCTGCTAACTGCTAAATTACCATGCAGTTATCTGCCAACTGCTAAATTACCACGCAGTTATCTGCTAACTGCTAAATTACCACGCAGTTATCTGCTGACTGCTAAATTACCATGCACCTGACTGCTAACTGCTAAATTACCACGCAGTTAACTGCTCTAGCTGCTAACTTGTCATGTGTCATTTGGGTCAGTAACCCCTCTGGGCCTCAGCCCTCCTCCGTGCAAGCGCGGACTCGAACCGGCGACCTCGACCCCAAGAGGAACCCCACTTATCGTAACCACTACAGCCAGGGCCCGGTGTTCAAAAGCGGAACCATACCGGTCACCGTGATATCCGCCCCGCCCCTGCGAGGCTGTAGTGTCCACACTCAACGCACACCACACACAACACCACACGGACGCATTACCACGCAGTTAACTGATAACTGTTAAATTACCACGCAGTTAACTGCTAACTGCTATAACTGATACCAACGCAGTTAGCTGCTAACTGCTAATTTACCATGCAGTTATCGGCTAACTGCTAACTGCTAACTGCTAAATTACCATGCAGTTATCGGCTAACTGGTAACTGCTAAATTACCATGCAGTTATCGCCTAACTGCTAACTGCGAAATTACCATG